TGTTAATCTCATTAGAATTTGTTATAAACTGGCTGTTATTTACTCCGTAATGTTTGAGTTTAACTAGAGCAAATACTTGGATTCTGAACAGCTTCTTCTCAGGTTGATGTTGCTGGTCACAGGAAGCATAGAGATTTTTAAGACATGGTTTTCCTAAGTTTGGAGGCCTTGTCTCATTACTGAAAATCCTGATTACATAGAAGATAATTTCAGTAATGTAGACAATATCAACAACTTTAACATTCTGGCTCTGTTTTTTTTTGTCTTGAGTAATCTTGGTTAAGTTCATTTAACTTTAATAGTTATGATTTCTTCACTTATAAATGGGATATCTTCCTCATGGAGTATTTATGAGAATCAGATGAAGTACCAAAGCAATAAAAGAAAGAAAAACATGCGTCAAACAGAAAACATTTTAAAAATGGTAAGAATTAATTCAAATATATTAGTAATCGCTTAAAGTGTGAAGGGTATAATAATAAAAGATAGAGATTGCTAGAGTGCATAAAAATGAGACCCAACACTGTTTTGTTTATAAGAAGCCCAGTGTAAAAAATACATAGATTAAAAGTGAAAGGATGGAGAAATGACATACTATGCTAAGATTAATCAAAAAGATAGCTGAAGTAGATGTGCTAATTTGAAACAAACATCAGATGAAAACTATCAGAGATAAATAAAAAGATGATGGAAAAATAGACAAGCCAAATCTCTAGAAAAACATGTATATAACAACTGTGCATCAAATTATAGGAAGCATGAATTGATAGAGCTTCCAGGAGAGAAACACGAGTGTACGTCTATTATTGAAGTCTTCACCACACCCGCTCTTTTCAGTAATCAATAGATCACGGAGGCAGAAAATTAGAAAGGAAATGGCTAACCTGAGCCCCACTATCAGTCAACTTGATATATTTGACATTTATATAATATTCTATTCAATAACAGTAGATTGAACATTCTTCTCAAGCTTACATGGAATATTCACCAAGACAGACCACATTCTGGCCCATAAAACACACTTGAAAAAATATAAATGGTCAGAAATCCAAGCAAGGATTCTCTCAAGTCATAACACAATTAATCTAGCAATAAATAATGGAAGGATGACTTGAAAATTCTCAAATGTGTACAGAATAAAGAACCACGTGGAACACAAAACCAGAACAATGTGCACACTAAGGAAATTGTACTATTTCCTTTTGTATACTGGTGAATGGGTGTGTTAGTCGGCTTTGTGTTACTATAATCAAGTATCTGAGGCACCTAAACTTCTGAAGAAAAGTGGATTATTTAGCTCACAGTCTTAAGGGTTCAAAGTTCAAGACCAGATGATCTTTTTTTGGTCTGGTATCTAATGAGAGTGGCAGATGGTATCATTTCACAGAAGGAGCATCTGTAGGTACAAGTGGAATACCTTCAACCATACAGCACAGAGACTGAGTCTGGGATTCCACCATCCCTTCTGAGGGCACACTTCCAATGGCTTAAGCACTTTCCGTTAAGCTGCTTCTGAAAGGTTTCATATTATCTCCCAACATCACCACCTTGGGGACCGAGCTTCCCACATGTGAACCTTTGAGGTGACACAAGCTGTATTCTGCTGATGGATACAAAAAGAGAAACGTTTGGGGTAAGGTTGCTTATGCTTACTGAGAAAGACAGTAATAATTCTCTTGTATCTCCTTGCAGAAGTTGATTTTCTCCACAAATATAATCGATCCTCATTATTTGAAGAGTCGTGTATATTTGCAATTTTGTCCACTTTTGATAATTTATTTGTGACTCAAAAATCAATCATTATGGAATTTTTTGGTCCTTTATGGACATATAGGACAGTGGAACATTTCAGTCATCCATCTTACACAGTTTACAGCTGAAATAAAGGCATTACTTACCTTCTTGTTTAAGCTACCAAACTGTAAATAGGTATCCTACTCAGGGTCATATTTTTTGCATATTTGTGTTTTTTATTGGTGAGTTCACTACTTAAAAGGGTCTTAAAGCAGAGTGCTAACATACTCTATAGGTTTCCTATGTGTAAGAAATATCATAATGTGCCTTACACGGCAATACATGGGTTAGATGAGTCTGGTTTAGACATGAGTTATAGTGCTATTTGCTGTGAGTCTTCAGTTTATGAATCAACAATATATATTAAAGGCAATTTCTCCAAGCAGACACAGACCAAACAAGGTTGTGTGCTGTTCCTTTGATGAAAACATGAGAGGCTTGAAGAAACCTAAGCCTGTATTTTCTCTAGAAGCAATGGTTCAGTTTGTGCTAATTCAGGGTTTGTGGTGACTTTTTAAAACATAACTACCTCACATAAAGAAAACCCATTGTTTATATCTAGAATGCATTGGTCTTAGTGTTATTTATAGATTTTTTAAATAGTTAAAAGAAGAAAATTTATTGAATGAATATTTATGAAGCTTTTGTATGAGCTTGACTTGTTCTAGGTAGTGGGGACGTAGTATTATATATGTCAAAGGCCCTACCTTTCCTTCTTTATACAGCTTGTGTTCTCATAAAGGCAAAGAAAGAAGAGGCATATTAATACATAAAATGCTGGTGGTGCAAGCGCTATAAAGAAACCTCACATGTTTTAGTGCACGGGTTAAGTACATAAAATACAGAGAAGTCGACTAAGTTTTTTATGAAACAAACAATTCCAAATGAAAATGTAAAATCTCAGCTTACATTTTTCTCCCTTCAAAACCTATGCTCTTTCCTCTGTTTTATACTTGACTACTTTATTCACATAATATACTGTCCTGGTAGGAGAACTGCTCTAGCTCCAGTGAGGAAATTATTCCCAAAAGAAATAATTTTATGCCATACAACGGTGGTTCTCAAACAGTGGGGACAATTTCCACAATGTCCTATTAGGGTAACTGGTGGGTGGAGATTAGGGATGATATTCAACAGCAAATGCAAAGAATCATCTGTTCTTAATCATAGAGGAACCCTAAAGCCTGTAGCTTTACATAAGCCAAAAGAAACACCAAACAAACAAACAAACAAAAAAACCAGGCTTCCAAATGACTAGTGCAAGACTTAGGTGGAAAAATGAAGGATCTGATTTCTTAGCTGCCAATGATCAGATTAATTGTTCAACACTGTCCTGCCATTGCATTTTAAGATCTTCCCTAGCGCGAATTTTTCTCACTTTGGATGCCAATGCTTCCTCCCCTAACAACTTCTTCCCTTCAGACTTTTGAGGATTTAGGAATTGAGGAACTGGAGTTAAGAAAAAAAAAACCATGGAAAAAAATATAGATGAGAAATAGAAATAGACTGAAATACATACAGTTGAAAAAAAAACTTGAATGATCCTTCCATATGTTCATTTTCTTCTTTTTTCTCTTTTTTCTTTCCATACTTTCTGTAGCTATCTGTATCAATTAATGTTTCCTAGAAAAACAGATTTAATGCAAGATATACAAATATATATCTAAGAATTTACAGGATTAGCTTACAATGGCTTCCCACTGAGTCCGGTGTGTACAGGCACAAAAGGTCTGCCTATGCACTGGAGGTCCAAAGGATGCAGTCAAAGGCCTAGATCTCACTATAGTGCCCCATGCGAGTCCACATCAGGAGACTGAAGGGTATGCCCTGGAAGCCAGATGATGTCCAAGGTGAAGGCAAAGACTGAAGCTCCTCTGAAAAAACAGAAGTGAGCTTTCCTTCTTCATTTCCCTTCCATACTATTCTGGTGAGAATCCTCCCAAGGGGCGTCTTCCCACCCAGAACTATGCTGATCAAATCTAGTTGGCTGTGTCTTACTCAAGTTGACATAATCAATTAACTGTCACACTACAGTCTCTCCATTCCATTCTTTCAATAGTATTTACTGTCTACTGTTTTTTCTGTTAGACCCTGTATATATAGATATCTTCTGAAAATGCTTTCCTATTAAATTTTGCATTTTGCAAAGTACTTTTACCCTCTGTTACCTCATTTAAACCATTCTGTAAACTTTATTTCACAGATGAGTAAACTGATGCTTAGAGAACTTGTCTTTATGAAGACAAGTTCTATTTTGTTACCTTACCCAAGGTAATAGAACAAAAACTCCTGTCTGTACTGTCCTTCCTTCTAGTGACAATGTTGGTATAAAGATCATGATGCTATGTGACTCAATATTGTCCTTCAGTTATAGGGCATCAAAATTAGTGTTTAATTTGGGTTACAGAATCACAGAAAGCAAATTTTTCAAAAGGCAATATATTACCTTGGACATTGTTAATGAAACCCACTCAGAATAACACAATAATATCTGTTTATTAAATTACTATTAGATGATAACCATTAAAACAAAGTAGTTTATCTAACATTCCTAAATATCCTGTCAGGTTAGTTTCATTTTAGGTCTAAGAAGTTGACTAATTTGGGTAAGCATGACTAAATTTAAAAGAGCCTAATGGTTAGAGAAGCAACAGAAAAGATATATGTTTTATTTTGAGTGATTTTGAAATTGTGCTGTCTGGATTATTTGCTATTTAGTCATGGATGAGTAAAGTGTGCAAAGATTTTAAATTTCATCATTTGTGGTTTAAAAGGTTGGTATATAAACAACCAAGATGTTGATTAGCTCACCTTGCATATATACTAAAAGGTTTATTTATATCTTTGACTCAAAGAGAAAGTAGCAATTTCCTGCTTAAGTAATTTAAATTTAAATATTAATATTAGATCATATTAAACCAATAACTCTCACTTTGAGTGACTCATTCTTCAGGAAAAACTATATTCTACGTAGCACTCCTGCTCTCTTTTGATCAGAATACTAATCATTATGTACTGCAAAAATGTACTAATAAAAAATAAAAGTTGAAAAATAAAAGAGTTCTGGCCGCTTCTACACCTCAGTAGAAACGTTGAGGGGAAAATAAGATGACAGGTTTTATGAAAACCTTGTGACTGCTTCTCTTTCCCAAGTCCATAACAGAACTTGTCCTGTGTTCTAAATTCTGTCTCTAAGGCAAACAAAACAGAAATTGTCCACTACAACCAAATTAATCCAGCAGGTAAGGCTCCAGTGAGCACAGTTACTTCCAAATCCTTCAGGAGGCAATTTCCTAAATACCATAATTGCTCTCATTTTTGCTTTTCAAGATGAAGGAAGACTTGGTTAAAACATTACTTCTGGAAAAAGATAGCTCAAAACCCCAAAGGATGAAAGAGGGGCTGGGGATTTAGCTCAGCGGCAAAGCGCCTGCCTGGCAAGCGCAAGGTCGTGAGTTCGGTTCCCGGTACCGGAGAAAAACGAAA